TATATATATATATATGTCTGCCGCGATAAGTTAGGCGAACAGGTGCGAAACCGGTATACACGTTGGGGAAAATAGCGTAAACGCGAGTCACAGTCGAACATAATTTCCTCGTACCGTAACTTGTTGTAAAGCACGTTGCGCATCTGTGGTCCGCCATTTTAAAAGTCTACGTCTGAAGATCGTCATGATGGAAAAATGATGCTCCAACAGTACTGATTGAAAAATTCATGGAAAAAAAAAAAAAAAAAAGAAGAAATAATTGGATCGATTTACAGTTAGGCGTGGAGTGATCGCACGCTCTGTTAATTTCTGAATTTTTACACAGGGTGAATACACCCGGCGTGATCGTTAGACCGCGGATCTCTATGCGTTTCTGCGAAATTTTGACGTGCAGAGTTGCGCGCATAATACAGAAAGAATGTAGGAAATAATCAAATGTATACTGCGAAATAATTTTCTACTTTCTCGATTTTCGAAACACTGGTTTGGGTACAGTTAGTGATATTAATTTTTGTGAATAAGACGATATAAGGAATAAAATGATACAGGAAACACTATAAAAAGCGCTATACTTTGGCTATTTTGTATATTTCTTTCCATTCGAAGATTTTGGACGAATGCATAATCAAAAATCAGCCGTTCGGATTAAGAAATTTATTAAATTGTGAATAGTTAAATATAATAAGATAAAGGAATTAGGCGAGAGTTTCATAGAAATAAAATGAAAATAAAAAAAAAAAAAAAACTGTTCGCAGATCAAAAAAACAAAAATCTGTCAAGAACAAAAGAGCCTTTTGGTTCTTTCAAACGTCACAAAATTCACAATTGAAAATGAGTAATGCGTCTCCCATTCAGGGCAAGATACCTACATAAAAATATATATATGATTAAATAAAAGTATGTTATCTCGAATTACAGAAGTTTTTGCAGCTAAGAAAATTTTCGTAATATTTATAACACGTTAATTGTAATTTTGTTACGAACGAAAAATTACATCGTGCGAAGTTTTCCTACTGTGAAACGATAAATTCGAAATGGGCCAATTTTTCGTAAAATAAACACAGTTTTGCAGAATTTGTTGAACGACAGCGATTCATGTACGTGGCTCACATGTAAAACGTTGCTAGAAGAAAGACACGGTGAAAGTATAATTTAACGCATCGCTGAATCTGTATACAATTGAGACCAGGTTCCCATTGCCTAATAAGGGTTCACTAAAAATGAATTTGTTTTCCGTACGTCGTGAAACGTGCCGAGACAATCCATTGGGTTTAATGGAAAGTACGTGCATTTATGGTAAAAAAAAAAAAAAAAAAAAAAAAAAAGAAAATTAACACGTTAATTGATCTGATGTAGATCGTCGGTGTAATATAAATGTTGCAACGTATATCGTGGAAACAGAATTCAGAATTTAACATTAATAATTTCAATTTTAATATTTATTTTGATAAATGATTTAGATATTTCTAATGATACATTTAATAATTTCATTCCAATTAATATTTTCACATTATTAATAATTTCATTTCATCAATTTCTGACGACTTTTTA